CTACATTTCTCTCCTTTTTTCATTTTACTGAACTACATACAATGAAATTGAATGGTTTTTTTTTGCAAGTACTGAAGAAGAAATTGGCCACACATCAAAACAAGACATGCTGATAACAATCGGTGACTAGACTGCAAATGTAGGAAATAATGCAGAATCGAACATCATTGGGAAATTTGGACTAGGGGCTCATGAAGTTTTGGGAAACAACTTGTTCATCACAAACACATCCTTCAAACAACCAAATAGACAACCATGTACATGCACATTGCCAAATGGCCAAGACAGAGATGAAATAGACGATGAAATCGGAAGCAGATGGAGAAGATATAGTCTCTCTTCCCAATAATTTTTTTAGGAAATACAGATCAGATTATGGAGGCATTGTGTCTGCAACTAACTCTCAAATAATTCAGACAGAGAAAGATAGTAATGTGGCAAAATAACATGATGGGAATTGGAGTAAATTTTCTTTCTATTTTTAGCCAGGTTGCTGAGGAATGGGTATTATTAATACTTCTTTGATGTCTGATAGAATCACTAGTGAGTCCATGTGGGCCTGAGGTTTTCCTGGTGGTAGTTTAAAGTTATTTTACTTGTTGCAAGTCTATTCAGATGAGCTATTTCTTCCTGAGACAGTTTCAGCAGTTTGTATCTTTCTAGAAGTTTGTTCATTTTTTAAACTACTTTGTTGGCATACAGTTGTTCTAAATATTGCCTCATAATCCCTTTTATTACTGTCACATCAATAGTGACGTCCCATCTTTCATTCCTGATTTTGAGTATTTAGCTTAGCCAACCTAGACTTTCAGTTTAGCTCAAAGATTGCCAGTTTTGATCTTTTCAAAGAACCAGTTTTGTTTTCATTTTTTCCATGATCTATTTCATTCAACATTCATTTACAGAATTCTTTATTTTTTTCCTTCTGTTTAATTTGAATTTACTTTGCTCTTATCTTAAATTATCCTAAGACTAACCCATATATACATACACACACACATACATACATATATATGTATACATACACATACACATACACATATACATATACATATACATATAATGGTCTGTCCAGAGAGTATTCAGCCATGTAATATAAAAAAGACATTTATCAAAGAAGATAAAAAATACAAGAAACATTGTACATAGGACAATGATGCCTCAGTCCCCTTCAAAATAGGCACCTTGGGACCTCACACAGTCCTCCCAATCATCATCAGGTGCCCCATCATATTTCCCTGGATCTCATCAACTGTCTGAAATCTTTTCTCTTTCAAAAGTGATTTTAATTTGGGGAAAAGCCACATGTCACAGGGTACCAAAACTGGGCTGTAGGAAGGCTGAGTCACCTGGGTGATTTGCTGTTTCACTAAAAAGCTCTGCATAAGATATAATGCATGAGCAGGGGTGCTGTCACAATGAAGCTGCCAATCACCAGTTGCCCATAGCTGCAGCCTTCTGAATCATGCAAATAGTTTCTGCAGAGGGATATTCAAGCTTAATGCAAAATTAAGGACAGTTTGCTATCCTTTCACTGTTCATACTTTTTATCTTCTTTTTCTTAGGTAAGTCCCTTTAACATTTCATATAATAAGGGCTTGGTGATGATGAGCTCCTTGAATTTGATCTTATCTGAGAAGCACTTTATCTGCCCTTCCATTCTAAATGAAAGCTTTGCTGGATTAGAGTAACCTTGGATGTAGGTCTTTGGATTTCATGACTTGGAATATTTCTTTCCAGCCCCTTCTTGCCTGTAAGGTCTCTTTTGAGAAATCTGCTGACAGTCTGATGGGAACTCCTTTGTAGGTGACTGCCCCCTTATCTCTTGCTGCTTCTAGGATTCTCTCCATTTTAATCTTGGGTAATGTAATGATGATGTGCCTTGGTGTGTTCCTTCTTGGGTCCAACTTCTTTGGAACTCTCTGAGCTTCCTGGATTTCCTGGAAGTCTATTGCCTTTGCCAGCTTGGGGAAGTTCTCCTTTATTATTTGTTCAAATAATAAAGTTTTCCACTCATGGCTGTTCCTCTTCCCCTTCTGGTACCCCTATAATTTGGATGTTGGAATGTTTAAAGATGTCCTGGAGGTTCCTAAGCCTCTCCTCGTTTTTTGTATTCTTGTTTCTTCATCCTTTTCTGTTTGGTCATTTTTTTCTTCTTTCTGGTCCACTCCTTTGATTTGAGTCCCAGTTTCTTTTCCATCACTATTGGTTTCCTGTACATTTCCCTTCATTTCAAGTAGTTTAGTCTTCATTTGTTCCTCTAATTTGTGACTAAAATCAACCAGCTCTGTGAGCATCCTGATCACCAGTGTTTTGAACTGTGCATCTGGTAGGTTGGCTATCTCTTGGTCGCTTAGAAGTATTGGCTCTGGGGCTTTGAGCTGTTCTTCTTGAGCCATAATGTTTTGGTCTGTTTGTGCCTGTTACGTATGAGGGGCAGAGCCTTAGATGTTCACCAGGGCAGGGAGACCCAGTCTCTGGGTTGTGACGCTGTATGTGGGGGCGGGGTCAGAGAGGGGCAATGGCACTTGTTCCACGCTCTCTCTTGGATTTCAGTCCCCTCTGCTTCTTCCTGCAAGCAAACCAGGCCCCCTGGTGCTGGGTCCCAGGTGTGTGGGCCTGTGTACCCTCCAGGACCTTGTGGGTCTCTCCAACAAACTCTCTGTGAGCCTGGGAGCTTCTCCTGACACCTTGATCCCAAAAGTTTTTCCAATTGATGCTTTTAGGCTTTAATTCCCATCGCTGGGGCCCTAGCCTGTGTGGTCTGTCTCAGTGCTTGCTCCTTTGCCTGGTTTATCTGTGTGCAAATGTGTGACCACGGTCAGCCAGCCGCCTTGCGCCCTCACTGGGTCCTCCTGTTGCCACCCCACACCTGAAATCTGCCAACGGCTGCCTGCACGCCTGGATCAGTCCAGGGGATCTTTCCTGCCCGACCCCACTTCACCAGCCGCTGACTACACCCCTCTTACCGGTCTGGCCAAATGGTTTGTTGTTGTTGGACTTCCGTACAGTTCAATTTTCTGTGTTTTGGTTGCGTTTTTATTACTAAAACTTTGTTGTCTTTTAACTTGGTTGTGTGAGGAGGCACAGTGTTTCTACCTACGCCTCCATCTTGGCCAGAAGTCCTGTTCGCCTTAATTGTATATATTTTAAAGAAGCAGAAGGAGAAAAAATAAATTTATAGGGCTTGTTCTATTAACTTTCTTAGGTACAATTTCTGGTTCTCTTTATTTCTATGAGTTCAAGTTCACATTGTCACATCTTTATTCCAATGGACTTTGAGTCCACCAACCTCCTTTATTCTGTTATTGTTAAATACGTTACATTTATGTATGTATATAATTTATATATATAGGACCTATATAAATTAAATAGGGCCATAAATGTTATGCATGTTACGTATGTTATAGGCCCTATAAATTATATACATATTGTTGAATACAATTGTTTTTTAAACCAGTTAAGAGAAGAAAGGAAAAGAAATCTGCATTTATACTATTTTTATAATTACATAATTCCCTAACTGGTGTTCTTTGTTTTCCTAGATGATTTTGTATTACCATCTGGGGTCACTTGTTTCCTTCCTGAAAACCTGTTTTTGCATTTTTTTTAAATTTTATTTCGTTATTTTTCAAGTACAGTTTTTTGTCTATTTCTCCCATCCCAGCCCCCCCTGCCCCGTCTGCCTACCTCCCTCCCACTTCCTCCCCACTAGTCCTCATCCCTGTGTCTTTCACACTTGCTCCTCAAAATCCCTCCCCTTTTTCCCCCTTAAATTCCCTTCCCTCTCCCCTCTGGTCACTGCCCACTTGTTCTCTATTTCAGTGTCTTTGTTTTTATTCTGTTTGCTTGTTTGTTTTGTTGTTTAGCTTTCTGTTAAAGGTGAGATCATATGGTATTTGTCTTTCAATGCCTGGCCTATTTCACTCAGCATAATGCTTTCCAGTTCCATCCATGTTGTTGCAAAGGGTAGTAGCTCCTTCTTTCTCTCTGCTGCATAGAATTCCATTGTGTATATGTACCACAATTTTTTGATCCATTCATTTACTGACGGGCACCTAGGTTGCTTCCAGCTCTTGGCTATTGTAAATTGTGCTGCTATGAACATTGTGGTGCACAGGTTCTTTGAAATTGATGTTTTAGGATTCTTGGGATATAATCCTAGCAGTGGAATTGCTGGGTCAAAAGGCAGGTCGATTTTTATTTTTCTGAGAAAATTCCATACTGTTTTCCATTATGGTTGTACCAGTCTGCAATCCCACCAACAGTGAACTAAGGACCCCTTTTCCCCACAACCTCTCCAACATTTGTTGTTTGTTGCTTTGTTTATGATAGCCATCCTGACTGGTGTAAAGTGGTATCTCATTGTGGTTTTAATTTGCATCTCTCTGATAGCTAACGATATTGAGCATCTCTTCATGTGTCTCTGGATATTCTGTATGTCCTCTCTGGAGAAGTGTTTTTGCATTTTTTGTAAGGTTAATTTGCTAGAAATAAAGTTTCTCCAAGCCCCACACTCTGAAGCCGATCTCTGTGTTTATGGACTGTCTCTCTCCCTAGACAAAAGTCTCTGAACCACTGCCTCTCTCCTGGGCAGGGGTGGTAGGTAGCCTCTGATCTTCCCCATTTGTCCCTCCCAGCGTGAAAGCTCCATCCTACAAGTGAGCCAAAGTAAGGGTGGCCAGGCCAGGTGACCTCAGCCTGCTATCCCTCAGATATAGCCTTCACTGTGTGGGGGGCTGGTTGGGGAATGGGAGGCCCCAGCCCCTGGTTACACAATCCAGGAATTTAGTCCCTTCAACTCAGTGTCGGAGGGAATTTGGCCTGCCCCTCCCAGTGACATAGCTTACCCTGATTAAAAGATGAGGAAAAGGAAGCCATGCCTTACCCACCAAAAAGACTGAAGTTCATTGTCACAATGAACTAGTTGAGAAATTGTGTGAAACTCATGCACCCTCCCATCTGCACAGCTTTCGGAAATTCCGTTTGCCAAGTCACAGCTTTGCATTCAGTGCTTTCAGTTTCACATTACTTCAAATTCAAGGTCTTTGGGAAATCCAGAAAGCCTCATGACACCAGAGAGGTGAAAGACAAGTAACAGAAACCACTCCAACCACTCCAACCTAAACTGAGGAGCAAAAACAGGTAAGAACTTCACTTTCTCATTAAAGCAGCTTTCTCTCCAGCCCTAAAGGACCTGTAGTCTGAGAAAGGGAGCCCAGGATAAGGTTGGGGCAGGGGTGGGAAGGGATTTACAAAGGCCAGGTTATTTTCTAAAAAAAAACAAACAGTATGAAGATAGGCTTCTGCTGAGCCCAACATGGGACATAAGGTCAGGGGAAATCCTGGTGATATCAGGTGGTGGCATGTCCCTGAGCGTCCCCTCTGTGCTGGTGTTGAATTAGGCACCAGCAGATATGAGGCTAAACAGTCTGAAGTGCATTAGGACCGTCTTTGCCAACACCGTCTGTGTTGGCTGAGGACACAGTTAATTTACTAATGTCTTTGACAAACCTGCTCAGTTCTGATCTCACTGCAGCTGAGTCACTGAAAGGGCTACAAGTATGTTATTTTCACGAGAAAGAAAGAAGAGTAAATGACATTCAGTGTCAAACAGCTACCTGACACTGTTAAAGACAAAAAAAGAAAACCCTTAAACCCAGAGTAAAAGATAAAGATTCACAAAAACATCATACTTTTGAACCATACATATGAGCTTTGTTTAAAAGTAGATTACTCATCTTAGATGTAACCCAGGTTCCGGGTGCCAGATGGAAGGAAGGATGGGGGCTGGGCGAAAAAGGAGAAAGGATGAAGAAGTACAAATGGGCAGTTACAAAACAGTCACAGGGATGTGAAGTGCAGCGTAGGGAACACAGTCAGTAATACTGTAACAGTTATGAATGCTGCCAGGTGGGTACTCGACCTATTGGGGGGATCACTTCTTAAGTTATATAAATTTCTAACCACTATGCTGCACATCTGAAACTAATAGAATACTGAATGTCAACTGTAATTGAAAAATAAATTTAAAGAAAATAAAAACACTTCAAGTGCATTAAATGCAATTTCTAAGTGCCAACTCCCTTTTCACCCCTTACAAGTCGAATTTGGCTCCACTACTTCACTAAAAGGTATTCTCTTTTAAAAATCTGCTGTGGTCATCACTAAAGCCAACATTTGGTTTTCCTGACTCCTCTGTGCTCTCAAGCTATTTCGTTCTTGCTTTCCAGAAATTCTGCCTCTGAATTCCTGGGCTCGGCTTGAGCTTCACTGGTCACCTGCCAGTCCAACAGCTGTCACTCTCCTTTCAGCTCTTTCCCCCCCTTTCTCTCCCCATCCAGCCCCTCTCCCGTTCTGCCTCCTCTCCTCTTCCTGTTTCTCCTCCTCTCGCACCAAATGGGAAAACAGAAAAAAAAAACACAGGAAAACCAGAAGTGTATGGCTGAAAGTCTATTTTCATTGAACAACTTCCTCTCCAGCTCTCCTGATCTGCTTCCTGATCTTTAACCTATGTTTCACAGTCTTTAGTTCCCTTACACACACACACACAAACGTATATACACAAACATGGTTTTTAGCAACAGTTAGTTGGAAGCTTATTGTGAAGCTAATGACATTGAACTATCAGGACCTCTTGCTTACACAAGCCCATACCAACGCTTCAGGGAGGTCTGTAGTCATGTGTTTCGTATGGTCATAAGTTTTATGAAATGTGCAAAGGTTAAGTCATATTAATTCCACTCCTAGAATAGCAGTGCAAAAAGTTCTATGAGCCCTCATTTCAGAAAAAATAAGCACAAATAATAGGAAAAAAACACATTTAAAATCTGTGAAAATTATCCAAAGACTATATATCAAATGATAAAACTTTATTCACAAGTCTCCATAATAGAATTAATGCATAAATACATGAATATTGAACTTCTTACTTATAGCCAGGATGCAAAATACATTCTAAACCCTACTCTACTTTACATTTAATGTCCAGTGTAAAAATTTTAATGAAAATCCAAAAAGAAAGTTTCCTATAGAAAATTAAAGATTTTGTTAATGAAAGTGCTTAAATGTTGATGTCACCGTCATACCAATATTTTTTAGTGGGCTACTTCGATTACATTTCTGTAACTTTCGAAAATAATGCAAATCTTCCTCTCCTCTATCTCACTACTAACACAAAATTTTTGGCCATATTTGGGAATTCTATGACTCACTGTCCAATGCAAAATAACCTGCTGAAAGATCTTCATCTACTCAGACTGGAAATTCTAATGCAACCCATCTCCTCTCTTGCAGACAAGGTTGCACCCTGAACATGGACTCAGAGACCCACATGCCGGACCCAGTGTGCCTCATTGAGAACACTAACGGGAAACTAGTAGCTAATCCGGAAGCTTTGAAGATCCTGTCTGCCATTACCCAGCCTCTTGTCGTGGTGGCCATTGTGGGTCTCTACCGCACAGGCAAATCCTACCTGATGAACAAGCTGGCTGGGAAGAGAAAGGGTGAGGGGCACCAGCAACTTTGTCTTTGTCCATGTGTCCTTCATACATGTTCCTTGGTGGACCTCCCCCATTTTCCCCCATTATCCCTCTTACCACTCCGCTCTGGTAACTGTCACTTTGTTCTTTAATTCAATGTTTCTGGTTATATTTTGCTTACTTGTGTATTCTCAATATCAATCCCTTAACAGATTCATGAGTAAGAAACATTTTTCCTCATTCTGTAGCATACCTATTAAACTCTGTTGATCCACAAAAGTTTTAATTTTGAAGTCCAACTTACCTACTTTCTTTTGTTATTTATGCTTTTGTTGTCATATCCAAGAAATTATTGGCAAATCCAATATCAAGAAGCTTTTCCCATATTTTTTCTTCTAAAAGTTTTATAGTTGTAGCTCTTACATGTAGCGCTTTGAACTACTTTGGTTAATTTTTATAAAGGGAAAGCTTTCTATATTTCACCATTGAGTGCAATGTTGGCTGAATGTTCTTCATACATGGTCTTTACTATGTTGAGTTAGTCTCCTTCTAGTCCTGGGTTTGTTTGTTTGTTTGTTTGTTTGTTTTTTAATCATAAAAAGGTGTTGAATGTTTTCATATATTGGATATTCAAATTTCCCTATTTCTTTAATTATAAGTAAGATTCAGATTAATAATGGTTGTGGTTTTAGTTCTCTCTCCTTACCTTGAATATGTTAACTTTTATCTCAATTTCAACACACATCTGCTATTAAAACTCCACTCCCTCTTATCTCCTCTCCCCTGCAGGCTTCTCTCTGGGCTCCACGGTGCAGTCTCACACCAAGGGAATCTGGATGTGGTGTGTGCCTCATCCTGAGACGGCAGACCACACCCTCGTTCTGCTTGACACTGAGGGCCTGGGAGATGTAGAGAAGGTAAGTATCAAAGATTCAGTTTGGGAACAGCCCCTCATCTTTGGATATCCTCTACACTATTTAACTTTTATTCAAACATGAGCTTGCACTGAACCAAAATATATTTTTTCATTTCTGTTTATGTTTTATGAGACCAAGTTTTGCAATCATGTGTCAGAAAATATTCATAAGGCAGAATCTCAGAAGAAGCACATAGTTGTCAGTAACAGCGGTCTATTTATTAACAACAAGCTATAAGCTAAGCCAGTTAACCCAGATGTATAAAGGCAGTATCAAAAAATCTATGCCATGAGTCTTATCCTATAGAGAGCTTTAATTAAAGATTTATGTTCAGAAGTCCTATACTGTTTAAACTTAAAGTCTGTCATTAACACAGATGCCTTAATGAATTACAGTATTTTACCTCTTAACCTCACCTTTCTCATCCATAAAACACATGTAAATAATCTGTATCTGCCTCATAACATTGTTTGGAATATGTGAATATTTAATAAGAATGGAAAGTGTTAGGTACATAATAACTGCTCAATAAAACAGCTATAAGTATTATTGCTATTATATGTGTATTCTGCTGTAAAATAGAGAAAATTCAATAAAAATTATACTTAAGGCCTAGAGCACCTACCAACCTTGACTATTTGTTTTGCAATTATCTGCCAATGATTATAAGAGGACCTAGTGAAAATCAGTGTAAACCAAAAAGAGTAATCAGAAAAGTATTCAAAGTCCAAGTCCTGTTAATAATCATTTTCATTTGGATTTGGTTTTCTCTTAGAGGTCATCAATCTAAACACACACACACACACACACACACACACACATTAAATGAGCATCCTTTTACTACTGCTGATCTGAAAAGTGCCAGGAGAATGAAACATAATCCTGGCCCAAATGTGTTCTGATTTCTAGGGTGACAACCAGAATGACTCCTGGATCTTTGCCCTGGCAATACTGCTGAGCAGCACCTTTGTCTACAACAGCATGGGGACCATCAACCAGCAGGCCATGGACCAGCTGCAGTATCCTTTTTGTGGTCAAGAACAGCATCAAAATCAGAGGGAGACCTGTTAAAAAACAAGCTACCTAAATGTGAATCCTGGTGAATCAAGCACAAAAAGAAAAAATACAAAGAAATAATTCAAGGGCAAAAGAAAGATCCTATGTGCCTACTGAAGAATTGACTCTTGAGTTAGAAACAAAGGTTTTGCTTTTGTTTTTTTTTAATTTATTTTTATTGATTATGCCATTACAGTTGTTCTATTCCCCCCTTCATTCCCCTCCACCCTACCCCCCCATCCCCACCATTACCCCCCTTTAGTTTATGACCATGTGTCTCAAGTTCTTTAGATTCTATATTTCCCACACTATTCTTGCCCCCCATCTATTTTCTATCTACTGTCTATGCTACTTATTTTCTGTACCTTCTCCCCTCTTCTCCTCCTCCCACTTCCCTGTTGCTAACCCTCCTTGAGATCTTCATTTCTATGTTTCTGCTCCTGATCTAGCTGTCCTTTTAGTTTGCTTTGAAACAAAGGTTTTGAATATGTGGGACTAATATGGGATGAAGGGCGCTTTTCTTTTATACCAGTTTTCCTTAGTTTGCTACTCAGCTATGTGACAGAGCTAACAGATCGAATACGGGCAAATTCTTCATCTGATGCAAATGAGGTTGAGGATTCTGCTGATTTTGTGAGCTTCTTTCCAGATTTTGTGTGGACACTGAGGGATTTTTCCCTAAACTTGGAAGCAAATGGACAACCCATCACAGCAGATGAGTACCTGGAGAATTCATTAAAACTTAAGAAAGGTGAAGGGGACTTAGAATTGGTTATTGGGAATGACAAGATATTAGAAACTATCACTTTTTAAATTTCTTTCTACTTAGTTTTCCAATATTATAATTTTCTACTTTTTCTCAGCTGGATATTACTAAAATTAATGCTTGCTTGTTTACTATCTGAATTAGTTGATTCGACACTGAATTGACTTTTTCCCATTCTAAGAACAAGTTTCTCTTTATTTCAGCTCTCTCTGTGCTGTGATAAAATTAATTTTATCTCCCTGCTTAGAGCTTGTAATGCTGTGATTAACCAATGAATATGAAGAACAGTGGGCATTTATTTAAAGAAAATAGATTAGGTTTCTGGCCAGGATGTAGGTGTAGATACACTTTACTTCCTCAAACAACCAAAAGAAGGATAAAAAAAAAAACTATTTAAAAACAGAAAACAACCAGAACTGCCAGAAAACTGAACTGTATGGGAAGTCCAACAACCAAGGAGTTAAAGAAACATTCACTCAGAGTGGTAGGAGGGGCAGAGATGGGCACCCAACAGAGAGGACATGCAGCAAGGCAGCAGCTGGCGGACTGGGATGTCCCACATACGCATGTGGATAAGCTGAGAGGAACAACTGGGGAGTGAGACAGACCACGCAACCCAGGGTTCCAGGGCAGGAGACTAAAGCCTCAAAACCCCTGGCTGTAAAAACCTATGGGTGTTGCAATGGTGGGAGAAACTGTCAAGCTCACAGGAAAGTCCATTAGAGGGGCCCACAGGATCCTAGAATGTACACAAGCCCACCCACCCAGAAATCAGCACCTGAAAGGGCCCAATCTGTTTGTGGAAAGCAAGGGAAGTGACTGAAAGTGGGGTGAGAGCCAAGCAAGCAACATTGTTCCCTCTCTGACCCTTTCCCCACAGACAGCGCCACAATGCAGCCAAGAGGGTTGCCTGGCCATGGTGAATACCTAAGGATTTTGTCCCTTACAATGTAACAAGTGCACAGAGACAAAGAAATATGGCCCAAATGAAAGAACAGATCAAAACTCCAAAAAAAACAACTAAGCAATGAGAAGACAGCCAACCTATCAGATGCAGAGTTCAAAACACTGGTAATTAGGATACTCACAGAAATGATTGAGTATAGCCACAAAATAAAGGAAGAAGTGAAGGTTGAAACAAACCTAACAAGTGAAATAAAGCAAAATATACAGGGAATCAACAGTGAGAGGAAGGAAACTGGACTCAAATCAATGATTTGGAGCAGAAGGAAGAAATAAACATTCAACCAGAACAGAATGAAGAAACGAGAATTCAAAAAGATGAGGACACACTTTGGAACCTCTGGGACAACTTCAAACATTTCAACATCTGAATCATTGGAGTGCCAGAAGGAGAAGAGGAAGAGCAAGAAATTGAAAACTTTAAAAAAAATTAACGAAGCAAAACTTTCCCAATTTGGTGACAGAACTAGAAATGCAAATCCAGGAAGCTCAGAGAGTCCAAAAGAAGTTGGATTCAAGGAGAAACACACCAAGACACATTACAATTAAATTACCCAAGATTAAAGATAAGGAGAGAACCTTAAAAGCAGCAAGAGAAAAGGAGATAGTTACCTACAAAGGAGTTTGCATAAAACTATCAGCTGATTTCTCAAAAGGAAACTTCCAGGCAAGAAGGGGCTAGAAAGAAGTCTTCAAAGTCATAAAAAGCAAGGGCCTACAACCTAGATTATTCTATCCATCAAAGCAATTACTTAGAATGGAAGGGCAGATAAAGTGCTTTCCAGATAAGGTCACATTAAGGGACTTCATCATCATCAACCCCTTATTTATAAGAAATGTTAAATGGACTTATTTAAGAAAAAGAAGATAAAAACTATGAACAGTAAAATGGCAACAAACTCACAACTATCAACAACTGCACCTAAAAATAAAAACAAACTAAGCAAACAACTAGAACAGGAACAGAATCAGAAATGGAGATCACATGGAGTGTTAACAGCAGGGAAGGGGAGGGGAAAGAATGGGAGCAAAAGGTACAGAGAATAAGAAGCATAAATGGTAGGCACAAAATAGACAGGGGGAAGTTAAGAATAGTATAGGGAATGGAGAAGCCAAAGAACTTATATGGCTGACCCATGGACATAAACTAAGGTGGGGGGGGGATGCTGGAAGGAGGGAGTGCAGGGCAGAGAGGGATAAAGGGGAGTAAAAAATGGGACAACTGTAATAGCATAATCAGAAAAATATACTTAAAAAGAAGAAATAGACTATAGCATAAATAGTGAACTAGTCCAGTGGTTGGCAAACTATGGCCACAGGCAAATGATGGACAATACAGCCTGCCAGCTATCTCATAAATAAGTTTTATTGGACTTGCTCTGTCCATTCATTTGTAGATTGTCTATGGCTGCTTTCATGCTCTAATAGCCAAATTAAATATTTGGAAAACAGACCTGACCTTCCAAGCTTAATATAGTTAATCTTTGGTCCTTTATAGAAAAAGTTTCCAAGCCCCTATATTAAGCAAAGTCCTTTTTTGTCTTTTTCCAGTTACCAGTCAAAAGGATACAAATTTTAATCTCCCTCGACTCTGTATCCGGAAGTTCTTCCCAGAGAAGAAATGCTTTATCTTTGACCGGCCCACTCACCGGAAGAAGCTAGACCAGCTTGAGACACTACATGATAATGAGCTGGAGTCCGAATTCGTGCAACAAGCTACAGACTTCTGCTCCTACATCTTCAACAATTCCAAAGTTAAAACGCTTCCAGGAGACATCAAGGTCAATGGACCTCGTGAGTCTCTTCCCAGTCTTTACTCTCACTGTTAGGACTAAAGCAAGGTGAAATAACATCCACCTAGTGTTAGCTATGAAAAATGCAAATCTACTACTACACCTGTGGTACATTCTAGATGACACATTTCTAATAGATTTTATTAGTCAAATTTCTTGGGTGAGAAAAGATAGGAAAAGACAAAGAAAAAAGCTCTAGTAAGAAAAGCTCTAGAAAAAAGCCCTAGTAAACCAGACCTGTATGATCCACTAAGGTAGCTATTGGACAAGTATGGCGATCTAAATTTAAATGTAGATTAATTAAAATTAAAGAAAATTAAAAGTTCTGATTATACAGCTATATTTCAAGGGCTCATACCTGCAAAGGGCTAGTGCCTACACTATTGGACAGCATGTATAGAACACGCCCATCATCACAGAAAGTTCTCTTGGACAGTGTTCTGTTAGAGTAAATAACATGAAGGACTCCTTTTTCACTGTTTCACAAATAATGATTTTACAATTGCTTGCCATGGGCCAGGACTGATGATAGAGACATAAATGAGAGACATTTCCTGTCCTAATGGTGCTTGGCAATAAAGTACATATACTTAATAAACACAGGTCTATAGTATCCAGAACAGAGGTTCTCACCCTTTGATATGTGTTCATATCACACAATGATCTTGCCAGAGGAGGGTCTAATTCAGTTGATCTGGGGCAGAGGCCGAGAGTGGGCATTTCTGGCAAGCTTCCAGGTGATGCTGAGGACACTGATGCTGTGAGGCAAATGAGTGGCAAAAGATTATCATCAGATTTACACAGACGAGACTGTTTCCTCACCCCAACTACAGCCAAAATTAACATTTGTTCTCTTTTGCAGGACTGGAGAAGCTGGTGCTGACCTACATCAATGCCATCGGCAGTGGGGATCTGCCCTGCATGGAGAACGCAGTCCTGGCCTTGGCCCAGATAGAGAACTCAGCTGCAGTGAAAAAGGCCATTGCCCACTATGACCAGGAGATGGCCCAGAAGGTGCAGCTGCCCACGGAAACCCTCCAGGAGCTGCTGGACCTGCACAGGGCCACTGAGAAAGAGGCCATCGAAGTCTTCATCAAGAACTCATTCAAGGATGTGGACCATTTATTCCAAAAGGAATTAGCGGTATTGTTTTCTTCTGTTTATACGGATTAGGGTCTCAGAAAGTGAAATATAACTACAACATAAAATGGGTATTTGTTATGAGAAGGAATTTCTACTAGACTTTAAAATGATAAGAACCACTATTATTATTATAAGAACCAATTTTATTATGATTGACTCAAAGTCTCGAAACTTTTTCCATTCAAAAATTGATTTTCTTTCTCTAATTTAATTAAGTGCACATAGGTAACAATCAGAGCTCCTAATCAAATTACATACTTGCTGATATCAGACTGATTTAATGTTATAGCCAAAAGCAAAGGAATATGTAGTCTTAGTTATCTTAAGCAGGCTTATATTGAGCCACATTTATTCCATATGCAATCACTGGTCCAATTTGAAAAGCAGAAGTTTATTTCTAAAGGTGCATTTGCAGGACTACAGAGCCTAGTGCTGACCTACGTCAATGCCATCAGCTGTGGGAATCTGCATGGAGAATGCAGTCCTGGCCTTGGCTCAGATCAAGAATGCGGCTGCAGTGCAAAAGGCCATAGCCCACAATGATCAGCAGATATAAAGCATAAGTGCTAACATAAGGATAGTAATCTCTGCCATAACCTTTACGTCCAAGTGGAAAGGGACTTCAGTACAAACACAGGATCAGGAGGAAGGGTGTGGCCCTGTGAGTTTAGATAGGGGCACAGACTTTATTTTTTGAGAAGCTTTTCCAAAAATTCTGAGGTCAAGCTAACATCTTCTCTCCATTATTTTTACTTCCTATTTTCACATTAAAGACTGAGCTAGAAAAAAAGCAAGAAGACTTTTGTAAACAGAATATGAAAGCATCATCAGATCGTTGCTCAGCTTTACTTAAGGATATCTTCGATCCTCTGGAAGAAAACATAAAACAGGGGATTTATTCTAAACCAGGAGGATATCATCTTTTTATCCAGAAGATGCAGGAGCTAAAGAAAAAATACCTTCAGGAACCCAGGAAGGGAATACAGGTAACCAACACTTATCCCCCTGTCTGTTGCTCCTCACAACCCCACAATTCCCTCTCTCCGTTCCCCCCCCCACCTCCTTTTCTTAGATCTGCATTCTCCACAGTGGGTTCATTCCCTAGCAAGCTCACTCCATATTGGACCACAGCACCCACGGCTCCAAAATTAGAGCCCTCGCTCAAAGAACAGAGACTCTCCATCCGTATTTATCAGTCTCTTAAAAAGGAATCTGCTTTGTAGAGTGCGATGCTTGGACAACCTGGAGCATGTGCATCTTGACCACCAGACACATCAGGGCCAAGGGAAGCAATTTCCAGAAGAAAAGGTGGTAGGCCAATAGGGATAGGCACTTATAGATATTTCCTGTTACTAGCTCCATTTTCTCTGGGCCTTAGAGTGAAGAAATTCTTCAAGCATACTTGGAATCCAAGGAGGCTGTGACTGAAACAATTCTACAGACAGACCAGACTCTCACAGAGAAGGAAAAGGAGATTGAAGGTGAGGAGCAAGAGACTAGATTGCCTCAAAAGCTTTTAAAATTTCAAATAATTTTGCTGGGTGAACCTGGGGTCCTTAAACAATAGCAAAATGAGCAAAGATGCCTCTCACTGGCTGAAGCGAGCTCTGACTAGGACGGATGCAGCCAGGAGCAACAGCAACAGGTAAGTATACAGAGAAAAAAAAAAGCAACGTGGTCACACATGAGCTTTTCTTCTTCCTCTCCTCCTGACAGAGCAACGTATGAAAGCTGAATCTGCAGAGGCTGCAAAAAAAATGTTGGAGGAGATGCAGATAAAGGATCAGCAGATCATGGAGCAGAAAGAAAAGAGTTATCAGGAACATGTGAAACAACTGACCGAGAAGATGGAGAAGGACAGGGCCCAGTTAATGGCAGAACAAGAGAGAGCTCTCACTCTTAAACTTCAGGTATTGAATCGCATCACCTTGAGGTTTCTCTTCTTGTTTTCTCTCCACTCTCCCTGATCGCTTTGTGTGGTGTTAGACCATGAAATCCAGAAGAACCTTTCCTACCCACTTATATGTTTCAATCCCTGTCTGTCTGCCTGTCCTAGCCCTGCCTATGTCTGGTTATTAAAAATTGTATTTGAATTTATATCACATCTACTCATTTATCAGTATAGTCTTCAATCAATGGTAGCTATTATCTGCTAGGCATTATAAAAAAAAGTCTTATCTGTATCTTTTGCTTAATATTATACAAAGCAAGGAGTATGTCCCATGACTTAGGAGAACAAATAGGGGTTCAAAAAAGAGTAAATAACTTTAATAGAGTCACACAGCTTGGTAAGATATGCGAATCACCTTCACCATTCAAAGGAATCCACAGTGACTGTTTTTCTGTCATATGTGGTATGACTCCAGTTCTAAGAGAACCTGTGAGCAGAAGGACTCCTTACCCCTCACCCCAGCATCAGTCTGCCACTCCCGACTGGTTCCTCTGCTCTACTCCCAGTCCGTCAGTGAGCCACCTGCAGAAACCCCATGTGGTCCATTTCTGGCCTGGATTCCTTTATTTCTATCCTGCTACCTTTGACCCCAATCTGTAAGGCCTAAATCCAATTCACTGATCTAAAATTCAAACACTTCATTTGACTTTGAGAATTTATGTGTATGTTATTTGTGTGTATATGAGTCCCTGTGTGTGTATAAAAGTGTACAATGCACAGGGAAGATTTGACAACAAACATATGATGAAGATTGCCCACAAATGCTGTATAGAATGAATGGGATAAAAGACCAAGACTTGTAATTTAAGCTTATCAATATATCGGAAAGTATAAGCCAAAAATCTTTCTTAGCTAAAGGAGGCTCAGGAAAAGTAGCCACGAGGCTGGGATGCCCAAGAGAAAGTATAATAAAAATTAATGGAGAAAAGTTCAAGAAGAAATTAAATACTAAAAAAAAAAATCTATGAATGTGAAAAATAGATAGAAGTTAGGGATTTGCTTACTGCTACACTTTATTCATGATTTGTCCTTTTTAGGAACAAACCCAGTTACTGAAGGAAGGATTCAAACAGGAGAGTGATCAACTCCGTAAAGAAGTAGAGAATCTCCGGAATAACATGAGAAGAAGAAAGAGATGTATCCTAAGCTGAAGACGTAAGGAATAGAGCTTTCCTGTTCACTCTTTGGCGACGGTATAATGCAAGCAGTTTTAGAATTTGGAAAAATGTCACTACACTTAAGAAAAAGTGACTTTCTTTAAGCTGATAAAAGGAATCTACAAAAAAACCCTTTACCTAACATATTTAATGATGAAAAACTGAATGCTTGGCCCTTAACTCAGGAACAAAGCAAGTATATCTAGTCTCTCCAGTCCTATTAAACATTATACTAAAAGGGTTAGTACAATATGGGGGAAAAAGGAATAAAGGCATATAGATCAGAAAGGATAAAATAAAGCTGTCTTTATTCACAGGCATTATTATTATCCATACAGAAAAATATCAGGGAATCTAAAAATGAAAAATAAAACCTCTTGAAACAAATAAGTGAGTTTAACAAGGTTGTAAGACAAAAGATAAGGTTGTAACACAAAAACCAATTTTCAACTGTATATTTTTTTAAGATTTTATTTATTTATCTTTAGAGGGGAAGGGAAGGAGAGAGGTAGAGAAATATCCATGTGTGGTTGCCTCTCCTGTGTCCCCTGCCAGGAACTAGCCTGCAACCCAGGCATGTGCCCTGACTGGGAATCAAACTGCAATCCTTTGATTCACAGGCCCGCACTCAATCCACTGAGCTACACTAGCCAGGGCTCAACTGTATTTCTATATAAAAGCAATGAACAATCGGAAACCAAAATTTAAAAAATGATATCAGCCACTTACAATGGCTGATTTTTTTTTATGAAATAGGTAGAAATCTAACAACACGTGCACAGGATCTCTATGTGGAAACCAGTCTAAGACCAGGGGATTACGGAGTCAGACATGAATCTCCTTAGACTCCAACTCCCTTGCAGTTTTTCTGATGTGCCTTTTACTCGTTGTAGAAGATTTAAGAACCTTCTTTATAGAGTTAGCCCTGACAAAGCATATGCCCAATATTCATTAAGTTCCACTGAGCACTAAAAATATTAAAACACATGTTGTGTGTGTTAGGCTTTTTTCCAAAAAGAAAGAGGAAAAAATATGGCCCAGAACAGAGTGCTACATAACATACCAACTATACACATGTGCACACACAAACACACAAACACAGGCACATCCCACCCTTCCCACCGAGAGTTCTTTGACAGACAGGATTTCGTAGAACACAAGACAGTCAAACTTACCCAGTTTTTATTGTGGAGATCTTTTCCCACTTAACTTCAAAACAGAGTCCCTAGAGAATTAGATGAGTCTACCTTATAGCCTAATTGCTTGGGCTATAAGGATAGTTCATTTAAAAAATATTCATTGAGGATCTACCACATACTCTTCCAAGGAGTGGGAACATAGTTGTAGTCCCTCACTTAAGGAAATATTCTGTGGTGAATACAGAGATTAAACAAATAAGTACAGAAAACTAAATTCCTAAGAAATTGAGGGGAGAGGATTTCTGATTTAGGAAGGAGTTGATCTACTCCCCTCACCCCAAGATATCTCAGAGGCCTCCTTAGTATGTCTTAACCATATTCCCCTTATCAGTCAATTAGTAAAAAAAAAAAAAAAAAAAAAAAAGGAGAAAAGAAATTAAGTTGAGACGGGGAGACTGGAAGAGAGAGAGCATCCAACACCTGGCCCCAAAACACAACTTGGATAGTGTATTATGCTCCCAGCACCTCTGTTAGAGTGGACTGGTAAGTGAAAGAAATGAAGAGAGCAATGAGCTCCACCTAGTGGCCAATATTTTTATTTCTCTTCGCAGTACTTTATCACTACATTTTATCACCCCAGTTTTGTTCTTATTCATTGCCTGTCTCCCCCACTAGACTCTGAGCTCCATCTGGGAAGGAGCATTGCCTATTTTGTTCATCACAGACACAGGTAGAAGGGTTCAGGGCACATGATAAACCATAAATAAGTATTTTTAAACATACGAGTGAACATCTTACATGAAGTTTATCATCCCAGTACCATACCTGATACTTCTCCCTGAAAGTTAAACATTTGATTATTTAATATCCTATTGAACATTACAGAAATTTATAGTTAGTTATTTAAATTTCTGTACTATTTAGAGTAGAAAACTCTCCCTTTCCCTCTCCAAAAATGATTTCATCGTTACCCCTTCTTTGCAAACCTAGAGAACCTGGTGTTGATTTACATTCCTACCACTGCTCAGAGGATCTACCTGACATAAAGCACCTCGTGCCGACCAGTAGCAGCGCCAAAGGCATTGCACACTATGACACATTGAAGGAGCAAAGGGTAGTCCCCACCAAAACCCTCCAGGAGCTGAGAACCTGCACCGAACCTGCAGGAGCCTCTAAAAGCTTAAGAGCTCCATCATGAATGCAAACCAGGAACTCCAGAGGCACAGCCAGACTGAGAAAGGGAACCTAACACCTTCCTCAGCAGAGCAATGCCCACCAGGTTCTAGCAGAGTGACACACACTTATGTAGCGACATTTTCTAATACCGTTAGTCAGAAGCCACACACTCAGTCCACGTCTTGAAGGACACAATACTTGCCAAAGTTTCCACAAGGTCAATTTTTATTATTATATCCTACACACGGACATGATGTTTTGAATAATTTTTTTCTACCAATTTGATTTGTAACGTCAAAATTCATTTTCCTTTTAAAAATTGTTCAGAGACTATGAAAAATTTCTCTTTCAAGTGACTTAAGTAACTTGTGCTAAAATTAAACTGCTATAAATCCAGCATATAAACGAGCGTGTGGATAGACAGACAGGTGGCAGACACAAAGATAAATAGATACAGTCACCCCGAGCAGCCTTTCTGTGGGTAAATATACAATTTCTTTTTTTTTTAAATATTTAAACTAATGGCAGTACAGATATTAGTATCTGACTAGAAAGCATTTACTTTAATAATACATACATACATACATGTATTATATGTATGTATTAAAATAGCTACATGGGGCTGAAAACGACATAACTCTAGACAAATATAACTGTATATATTTAAAGTGTATATGTATCAATTTTATACATATATACATTGTGGAATGATTTCCAAGATCAACATGATTACCACAACCACCATATCACACGGTTAACAGCTAACTTGTGTGTGTGTGATGAGAATTATAGCAGGAATGTAAGGTGGGAAAGGCTTTGGGAATTTAAAACCCAGACCGAATCACCTTTTTTCCCTAGAGCAGGTATTTCTTAGTACAGCTCTAGGGTTATAATATAAAGGGAAGACATCCTGCCTGCCGCGTTCTTGCATTCTTAGTACCCAGAAGTGACAGCCACCTCTTGAGAGGCATTTCCAGAGGATGAGGCATTGCCAATTTCTTCCACCTTCATCTCCTCCCTTGTCCCTTGTCTACGGTCACCTGGCAGGTGCCTGTAAAAGTAAAGTGGGATGCCTTTGCTAAGCAAACTAAAAGAGTCACTAAACTATCACAGCCATACCATGACCACATATCCAAAAAAACATACAAATAAGTTAAAAGAAACTGATTTCCCTCTCGTGTAAATACAGTCCAGGGCTGGAGTGGTGACTCCATGACGTTAGGGCTCAAGCTCCTGCTCTACCATCCTCAGTTTTCAGATTCTTCCCGCGGCCCAAGACGGCTGCAGCCATTGTGTCTGCACAGAAAACCCAGGAACTGATAAAGACGTACTCTACCCCTTTAACACATTCCCTGCATGCAGCATATCCAGCTTCCACTTGTGTCCTATGGGGCAGAATTTAATCTTCGGGCCGACCAAGCTACAAGAGAGGCTGGAAACGTAGTCTTCTTTCCAAATGCCCATGTACTCTGATGAAGTTTGGAGGTTCTATTATTATTGGACAAGAGAAAACTGAATATTGGAGAATAACCAGCCCCCCTCCTTAAGATTCTCTTTTTCTTAAAAAACAACTTTATAGCACTTACTAAGAAGCAAGTACACCTCTAAGTTTTTCCAGGTCTGTGAAATCAACTAATAGCAGAATAAGTAAGGTTCTAGTACCCACATTTTACAGATGAGGAAATGGAAGCACAGATAAATGAAGTGGCTGGCACAAAGTCACTCAGCTAGAAAACTGCAGAGTTCGGATCTGACCCAGATGGTTTGGCTTACCCACTATCCTATACTGTCCTCCCTCTGCTGTATTTCAGAGTATTTTTAGTATTTTATATGATGTAATGGAAAATGTTTCATCTACCTGTAAGATAAAGCCTTTTATCTTACTGATAAAGAGATAGTATTTTGTTTTTATTCAGAACAGAAATCAGGAGAAGATATAAGGGAAACACACTTATTAGCTATTAATTCTAGGGAGTCACTTATATTTCCCATTAAACACCAACATGAGTATAAAAATAACACAAGGCTTAGCACATGAACAAATCATGCAGATGCCCAGCATTTGGTCAATCCGTCATTTAATGAACATGTATGTAAACCAGTAACAACAAGAGATGGTAAATTAAACATATTTACATTCTCTCTCTACTTAAGACCCACTAGTATAACAGTAAGGAGATTCTTTTAAGCCCCGTGAGAACAAAAACTAAGCAAAAATGACAGTGGCAACAAAATTATAGAACTTCTAAAGCAAATGGGCAGGTGATACTTGACAGCAGATTTAAACAAGCTGAATCCTAGACCAGTCATGAAGAAAGCCAACAAGTTTTGCCAATTCAGTTTACCCCCATAGAACTCTCCAGAGGTCCAGGGGTAAATCCAGGAGAATCATTTAAAGGCCTTTCTAAGAAACAAGCATAACCCCAGGTCTCCACCCCTGGTCTGCTGTGGCCCCACCGGTAGGCCCATCTTCGCCTCAGCAGATTAGCAGGTCGCTGGTAGACTCTGGAGAGGGTAAACAGTGTCTGAATTTGGGAGAAGCCAGTGGTAAAGACAAACTCGAACTCAGCAAACATAATCAGTCGGGGGGGGGGGTCTCTGGGAAGACCTAGAACTTAAGGTAGTTCTCACACACTCCTGTAACGGGAAGAACCACACACATGAGAACCCTACAGGAAAAACTCTGTTTCTAGTAAATCTCTTTGGTTCTAACTTTCTCTGCCTTTAACTTCCTTTCCTTTTTTAAAAATAACCCTGCATCTTGGCATTCAGGCCAATGGGTTGCAACCCTCTCTTTTTCCAGAATCAGTCTTTTGGCGACAAAACACCTGGTCAATTATTATTTTTCAGTTGACACCAGGTACAGTTGATAGCAGAGGGGAAGTGCTGAAATCAAGGAAATAAGTGCATGTCACCATAAAGAATGTTGAGATCTTTAGCCCTCTTTCCCTCCACTGTCAGCACCCGAGTCACCAACCTCATCTCTCACTCTAAAAAACTCCTAACAGGTCTTCTTACTCCTACTCTTGCCAACCCACAAATCTCACCTCCGAGGCAGCTAGACTATTGTTTTTAAGTTGAATTAAGATTCCATTATTCCTCTGCCTAAGATTTTCCAATGGCTGCTTCAGAATAAAATCCAAACTCTTGTGATCTGCAAGACTCTGCAACATCTGGCCCTGCCATCCTCTCCACCCTAATCTGGAAGCACTTACCCCCTGCATCACTGTTTTAGACACACTGGTCTCTGTTATTCCTTAAACATGCCAAAGTTTGCTCTGATTTAAGGGCCTTTTCAGCTGCTGTTTTCATTTCCAGAATCATTCTTTCCAGATTCCTCATCATTCAGTTCTGGGTTTTAATGTCAGCTCCTCAAAAAAAAAAAAAAAAAAGTAATAAGCCTTTTCAGATCATTCTATACAAACTACCTGCTGTTTTTACCCACCATTGCTTCTTTAAAGTACGTATCATCTTCTGAAGTCAGTTTGTATCTCTATTGTTTCTCCTCCTGGAAGGTTTAAGACACACTTTCTCTGCCTCGTTTTTCCCCAGAAGCCTCAGCACCTGTCTACTCAAGTCATATTTGTTCAATGTAAGAAAAAGAAAAGTAGCAGCTGGCATTGGGAACTGAATGGCACCCTTATGGCTGGTGTTGTTAGAAACTAGCTATGGCGTGTCCCTGTAAAACATAACCTCACACGATCCCTGCATCGGACAAAGTCACCCTGTGATCCTGATGGAGTGAGACAACAGACAAGATCACTTCATAATCTCGCCTAAACACAGATAAAAACAAGGTCACTCTGCAACTGCAAAAATACCAAACTTCCTCCTCTCCCAGATAGTAAAACTGTTGCTTTTTTACCAATTACAGATTTCGTCTTGCAATTCTCCCTCCTTCTTCCTCATAAGCTGTATTATGATACCCAATCTTACAAGTACCCCACATCCTGACAGCACCCAAAACAGACTGAATCTTTGTTTCCTTGAATCCCACCCCCCGAATCACCCAAATCCTTTAAGTCCTTCTAATACCGTCATTAAAATGACCCACATTTGCCCAAGGTGTGCGTTCTCCCTCATTGCAAGTACAAATAAACCCAACTTTCTGACTACAGGTGTGTTCCTGGTGGTTTTTTTGTCTAGAGATTATTGACTAATGAATGCCTCTCATAACAACTCAAAATCTAGAAGTAGATTATGTAATGTACACAATGATTTCTCCATTCACCTTACCATCTTCTGAACCTCCTTTAAGCTAGGTGAACAGTATATTTCTTCAACCAAAGATGATCTTTATTCTTTCCTCCAGGCCTGAAAAACAACACTACTGCCAGGTCCACACGACCTACCCTCTCAACTTCTTAAAATAGGAGGGGAAGAAAATGTAATTATGAAATTTTTCATTGTTTACACTATTGCAGATGTTCCCCCATTTCCCCTTCCTCTGTCCCTCTCCAGCCGCCCCCTCCCCCTGGCTGGCCTTCACCACATGGTTGTCTGTGTCCATGGGCTATGTATATATGCACATATGTTCTTTGGCTAATCTCTTGGAGTCCTCACCCCGCTTTCCCCTCTGAGATCTGTCAGTCTGTTCCACATATCCATGCCTCTGATTTTATTTGGTTCAACCGTTTATTTGGTTCATTAGATTCCATATATAAGTGAGATCATATGGTATTTGTCTTTCTCTGACTGGCTTATTTCACTTAGCATGATAATCAGAACTATTATCCTTTGCGATGATGAAAACTCCGTTCTTAACAGAAGCTCTCCTTCCGATAACACCGCCTTCCCCAAAGGAGTAATCACCGCATTCCTTTCCTCTTAGATGATTTGCATTCTTCATTTTAAAGTGTTATGTAAGTTGGCCAAAGTCTCACACCCTCCTTTTATTCCCAGTTCTCTGATCAACTCATTTCTGCCTTTTTTTCTTCATCCTTATCACGGGTGATAAATGCAACTTTTTGCACTCCCTTTTGCCTTGCCCTCTCCCCCGCAGCTTCCAACATCATTCTAACTACAATCCTCCACTCGCCTAAAGCCGAGGGCCTCGGAGCTCGCCTTTCTTCCCAATCAATCCTCCGCGAATAACCCAGCCCAATCAGTCACACACAACCAATCAGTGCCCTGAGTCAAAATTTTGTGCCCAATCCCGGGCCACATATAAGCCCCGCCCCACCCCTTCAGTGTGACTCTCCTTAATCACGTGGACCTAAATCCGCCCAGCACCTCTACCTACCCTGTCCAGTCTTCCAGGCCCTGGATCCCTGGTGGATCTAGTTCTAGAAGCAGGGTTGTCGCCCGAAGGAGGTAAGTGGGACACGAGAAATTCCGGTAAGCAGCAAAGCTAGTGTCCAGGCGCGCTGTGCCCTGCGCCAGGCAGGGAAGGAGGGCGTCGCGCGCCGGAGGCAGGAAGGAAGAGCCAGTCCGGATTTCTTTAGGGAATCGGACTCTCACTCCTGCGCCGGAAGCGCTCAGCAGCGCGCGCGGGCCCGGGTTCCAGATCCCGTCCCTGGCGGACCTCAGGGGAGGCTGCAGAGGGACTGACTGCGCTGGAATTAACGGAGTTTTCTCTCGAAAAGGGACGGCACTAAAATGACTGGCCTTCTTGGGTAAGGGCTTTGAACCCCGGTTATCGATTGCCCTTTTTGCTGTTGATTTTGCAGTTTGGCTATTCTGAAAATAGCGTGGCATGGATAACACCGATATGCCAAACCATATGGATATGGTTTATCCATAACCGGTATTTTTAATATAATGAAAACAAAGGCTGTTAACCTGTCATTTAAGTGAATCTGAAGTTTTTAGTAAAAGAGAAAAGCAGTCCAGTCTCTCTTTTGGAGTCTGAGCAACACTGGAAGGGGGAGCCCTGCACCCAGTACAAAACCATTCCTCCACCCCTGGGTCATTTAGGCTCCCCTGCCTACTACCTGAAGCAAGAACTGAGACTGCTTGCTCACGTCCACACCAGGCACCAATGGTGCAGATCAGCCATTAGAAAGTTTTATCTCAAGTTGTGCTAAAAACAATTCTCACTACTCACACCGGCCAACTATAAATTCTTGCCTTAAGAATTTATAATTACACGAACCCCATTTTCACGGAACAGCCTGTTCAGCAATCTCAGGGTCACATCTTCCTAAGTATTGTGCCACCTAAATATAGTTAATATTTTCTACTCTTGTTCCAATGACGTGACTTTGAGTCTTGTTCCCATTGCACCTTGTTCACCTCCTACATGCCCTCTTTTGTGTCACTGCACTTTATAAACGTTCTAGCAGTGGACTAACAGGCAGAGCATGACATGCACATGATCTTTCCTTTGGTCAGACTTTTAGCACAAGCCTTTTTTGCAGTCACCTCACATCAAATCTTTCTTGAGCTTGCATTTAACCTGAATGTTCTTGTCAAATTAACTAAATCTCTTTCTACCTCTCATTCCCATATACAGAGTGGTTGTAAGTTGATCATTTGGATCTAAGTTCAGAGCTTTCATCTTTTCACAATTCATTTTGACTACCCTGCTTACATTTTAGCTCTTAATTCTGCCCCCCAAAATTTACCAACCTTCTCAGCCTTAGGTGACCCCTAAATCTGCCACACATACTTTCTATATCTTCATTTTATTTTATTTTTTTAAAGATTTTATTTATTTATCTTTAGAGGGGAAGGGAAGGAGAGAGGGAGAGAAACATCAATGTATGGTTGCCTTTTGTGCACCCCCTGCTGGGAACTGGCCTGCAGGGAACTGGCCTGCAACCGAGGCATGTGCCCTGACTGGGAATTGAACCTTGATCCTCTGGTTCGAAGGTCTGTGCTCAATCCACTGAGCAACACTGGCCAGGGCGATATATCTTCATTTTAAACAATTTACTCCAATGATAATAGTTAAACTTTCTATTGGCCATGCATATTTGAATATGGAGTTTAACTTACGTGTAATATGTCATATTTAGGTTTTCTAGATCACCCTGATTCACAATTGCCTGGTTTTCTTTACAGAACATTGTTTTCAAAGGAGAAAACTAGAAAAAATACAGTGAAAATATTGTTTAGACTTAAAGCTGTATGCCTATTTTCCCCTTTTCAAGGCCATCCAAACTTATTCATTCATTCATTATTTAGCATACATATGGAATGATAATTGCATTAGAAAAGTGCTGCTTAAAATGTGTTTATTTAAAGTTCAGAGGAAAAATAGCTTCAGAGGTTCTGAATCTGTGTCAGCCTGCTTAAATTTTGGAACCATTTTTTCACCCATCATCCTCACAATTCCTTCCACAATGAGATTACCTAGTGAGAAGAGAGCCCAGATCTGTATATTGAGGAATTCCATCATTTCATAGGTTGGGGACAGGTAGGAGGAAAATGAAAGGTGATCCTATGCCAAGAGCTAAAGGAACATGGTGTTTCTGGAAGGAGACCTAAAGGAACATGGTGTTTCTGGAAGGAGACATGGCTTGACTAGCAGTACTGAGGCCTTGCCGCCAGAGGGCAGGGCTCACCACTTGGGGTGAAATCTCCCAAGAGCTGCAATCTGAGCTCAGTCAGGCACGATCAGCCAGGGACTCACCTTCTGAGGTTACCTTCAAACCAAGTATTTGTTTATTCATCTGTTTTGAAATATGGGGAAACGGAGGCTCAACAAGAGTCAGTGACTGTCTAACAGTAGACCCCCACCCTTTTGTTTTTAATAGACTAAGGATTAGAAGCCAGCTATCCTGATTTCTAGTCCTGCTTTCCCCCAGTTTTATCTCAAGAAGGTAAAAGAGGTTTCTCTTATCTGTCTACTTGCAAGAAAACATTTTGCTTATACTTTGCTTAATACCAAAGAAATTAGGCTGAATTTAAATAACTGGATGTTTATTTGCTGGGAAAAAAAAATGTCCTAAATCAAATAACTCCATGATACTGAATGAAGATTGCTCCTGTTGTTTGATGTTTTTGTAAAACTCTACTGCCTAACCCAGTTAATATTTTACTGTTGATCAGAACTATTAGTGACACAAGAATAGGCATGGGTTTTTTTTAAAGATTTTATTTATTTTTTAGAGAGGTAAAGGGAGAGATATATTAATATGTGGTTGCCTCGCATGCGCCCCCTACTGGGGACCTGGCCCACAACCGAAATGTGTGCCCTACACTGGGAATCAAACTGGGCAAATCCTTTGGTTCTCAGGCCGGCACTCAATAGTAGGCACTCCATCCACTGAGCCACACCAGCCAGGGCAGCATATCTTGATATAAAAAAACCTGATCATTGACTTGAAAGGCATAACACACAAGGGATAATTATATACTTTGCAAAAAGAATCATTATTTTGTAACAGGACATATAAATATCCATTTAAATTATTAATTTATAATGTGATTTTATGTATTCATTCAGTCATTTAATACTTTTATTTATCAAATACCTACTATATACCAGAGAATACAGTAGTGAACTATACTATTATAAATTTGTGAATGAGCGGCCAGCCACACAAACACAAAAAAGTGCAGAGAATTAAAATAGTCTGATGTGATATAGAATGGCTAAGAGATGCCTATTTAAGATGAGATTTTAATCACACAACAGTCAGGATTTTGTAGTCCTCCTTTTAAGAAACATCCAGTATATTATTTTTTTACATCTAAAGCTTTCTGTAGCCTTAACATTTGGTAGCTTCAGTGTTCTTTTGAATTCTTAGAGTCTCTTTTTATAAAAATTTGATCAGAGATAGAGCAAATGCCATCCTGATTCAGACCTCATGAGAATTGTCTCTTTGGCTTAATGTCTTTAGAAAGCTGAGTTTCCTCCCACTTCTAAATGGCAGTATAATAGAATTTCATTTTGCTTTGATCTCCCTCCCCATAATTGATAATGATGTCCTGACAGGTATAGAAGTAACTTAGAATGCATGCTGATTATGTATGGAAACTCCTGAAATGACCTGCTGGTTATGGAATTGTTGAGGGAAGTACCATCTGAGAAAATAACCTAAGAATCATTCATATATTTATATTTATCAGGGACCAGATATGGTCCCTTCTAAATAACGTTTTTAATAACTTTACTGTTACACATTGTGCTTTTATTAGTAACTTATCCAGACAAGTCTGAGTAGGTTTTAGACTGAAATATTCTGGATTTTATAGCTACTAGAAATGGAAGTTTTACTTAATGCTCTTGACTAAGTTGGAGCCCTGTATTTTTAATTCAGTCTCCTTGCAGATGTCTAGTTTAAAATAACATGCATAAATTTGTGTAAGAGGGTTTTATTAGAATGATTAGAGTGATTCCAGTGAGAAGAAATTATATCATAGAGAAAAAACTATCAAAACTTTATATATATATTTGATATAAACTTATGGTCTATCAGTTAACTTAACTGTCTGATAGCAATGTAAACAGCACTCTCTTTAACAGTTTTTCTTTTATTCTGTAGCATGTTTTTGGCCCAGAGGGGACTCTGCTCCCTTGGCAGTAGAGCTAAACTCCTGAAGATGATTTATTCTCCAAAAATCTTCAGACTCTCCACTTCTGCTGTAGGTATTGCTTAATCTTACAGATTAGTTATTGTACATATTCTGTGATATCAAAAGAGTACAACTTTTCAGATACTTTATAAACATTTTATTGGAAGGAGTATTTCCATTATATAAACTAAAGTCACTGCTTGTCACTGGTGAGAACTGACATTCACTGAGCAACTGCTTGCCTGTCTCTGTATCAGGCATAATATTGGACATTATGTATTCAGTATCTCATTTTATCTTTACAGAACTCTTCAAGTTATTGTTACATTCCTATCTTATAAATGAAAAAGCGGAGGCTTAGATAAGTTTGGTAACTTACCCAAGGTCACACAGCTTGTGTCATAATCAAGACACTCACCTGGCTCTAGCTTTGGCACACTAAAGGATAGGCTCTGTATACTCAAGAAACAATATACTGCCTATAAGTACAGATCCAGTGACTTCAAGATCACAGGAAATACGGCAGATTGGGGTCCAGATTATATAACATCAGGGAAGAGCACACAAATCTCATTGTTAGCACCATGGCTATCATAACCCAGGGTAAATAAATGACCCAGTTTCTTCAAGTCAGTGGCATGAGATAAAAGAGGGGTGTTTTGGAAGGACTGGTTTGGAATAAAAGAGGCTTAAGAACCACAACCAGCAAAACAATGTGTTCACCTTGTTTAGTAATTCAGTTCAATCAGTCAAAATGTAAAAAGATATTGTTAAAGACAATCAGAGAAGTATGAATGTGTATTGGGTATTAGAGGATACACAGGAATCATTGTTAATTAGGTGTGATAATCACAATGAAGTTGTATAAGAAACTTATTTTTTTAGGGCTATATGCCAAGTATATATGAGTAAAATGACCTAAGGTCTAGGACTTCCTTTAAAATTACTCAGCAATAAAAAGTAAAAAGAAAAAAAAAAGGAAAGACGAAGCCAGTAAGGCAAAATCTTGATAATTACTGAATCTGGATAATATGTATATGAGTGTTTTAGATTATGATGAATCATGAAATTGTCATTCTGTGGGTCAAAACTGGGTGAATACTGGCAGTTTTATATTGTTCGAGCTAGTAGTAATCTCTCGACTTTTATGTAAGTTTGAAATTTTCATAGGAACCATGGACTTCTCCCTCAGTTTGTAAATACTATTTCTACCTCACAAATGTTTGGGTTCTAGCTCTCATCTTTGTTAGCACCATGATACCTTAGTTGCCAACAGAGTGGGGATGATCACTCAGGGCGATCAGATAAAAAGCACAGGATTAAATAAAGGCTGTGTGTGCAGAATTATTATTTATCTGTCAAGCTCAGTTAGAATGTCCATGCCCAGGACCCATCCTGAGAGAATCTTGTTCTGTAAGTCTGAAGTGTATATTGAAAAAATTATCCAGGTGATTCTAATGTATATCCCGGGTAACAACGACTGACAATACTTTTATTGATATTTACAGATTCTCTGGGATAGAATTCAACGCTTTCCATCTTTAACAATCACATCAGAAAGGTCCCTACATTTCGTCAGGGCCTTTTCAGTTAAAATGGCCACACAGATAAATGTGTTCTTCCTGCTCTTGGACACAGGAGAGCGCGGACTGATCAGCCCTGTGGCGCTGTAGTGTTAGTTACTGCACCCAACCAGCAGGGGTCTGAGGCTCCCCGCCAACGGGCAAAAACTCTGGAGGCAGAGTTCATTGGAAAAGGGAACCTTTTATTTAATTAGCAAAATATCTGGCAAAAATAGCTGTTTAAATATTTGTTATTACTACTACTACATAGATTCAAGAGCTGAAAATAACACAAGAACAGAAATCTGCGCAAAAACGAAGATGTTGAAACTATATAGTTTTAAAAGCAAGGCCCAAAAAGAAAGGAACCGTTTTTTAAACAATCACATTCCTCTTCCTCCCATCGCTGACAGGTCCACCGAGGCTGCGCCCGCAGCAGCTGACAGCTCGGCGCAGGCCTGCGCCCGAGCCTCTTCCCCTCCCCGCCTACCTCCTCCAGGCCCGGCTTCTGACGCCCGGGGAATGTGCGCCCAAGGCCAGTTCCCCGCCAGGCTCTCCCCTCAGCAGCCACTCGCAGACGACGTGCAGCGCCCCGGGCCTCGGTCTGGCGCCAGCTGGAACGCCTGCACTCTCTTATCGCTCCACCACCACATTCTCAGACTCCTCACCTGCACGCCTTAGGGCTGAGACTTTCCCCATCCCCTCCAGCAACTGCACGTTCTGTGCTCCGTGCCCCACCCCTCCTGGGGCCCCCAGAATCCTTTGGGCACCTGCAGGCGTGGCCCTGGTTGCCAGGGTGATGCACGCCTTGCAGTCGTGATAAGTCTAAATCGAAAACTAAGTAAGTCTTACTAGAACCAGCCTGACTGCTTACTATGAACCTGGTTTCACAAGAAAATCCTCCACACCATCATTGGTATCAATAAAAACTTGATATATAGGTTACCTCAGAGGAAGGAAATGTAAAGAGCAATGGACCGTACTTTATCTGGATCATTTGCTTTTTTTCCCCAAAAACATTTGTTTTGTTTTTGTAATTTTAAATCATATTTTGAATCTTAAGGAAAAGCATTACAGTTATACAGCAAGAAAAGAACCAAGATGAACCCAGGATGAAAATCACTATCCTCTGTTTTAGCACCTAGATCTTAAAGGCATAGAAACTTGAAAGATTATATTATCCTCTGGTGCTGGAAAACCAAAGAACTAAACTGGTTGATGAGAGAGAAAGCTGGATGAGTGGGTGGGTGGGTGGGTGGATGGGAGGTAAGAATGAAGGAGGGAGGAAATAATTGATCATGAGAAGAACACCAATTCCTACTGCCTAGTAGTGTCACCCTTTGTTAGACCAGTCTTCATTTAAGGCTTAGACATTCATTCAGCTTGCAATCTGTAGTCCATTAATAACCTATTATCTACTTACCTTCAAAACAGCCTTCCTAAGTGGGACTTCTCAGGGAAACTATTCTGTGTGCTCTAAGGGTGGATGTATGTAACACGCCAGGGATGAAACCTAATGTGAATCTCAGACATCTGATGAGGTGTCCGTCCGTGTTGGCTCTCAGTTGTAACAAATGCACCACTGTGATGGGGACTGTTGTTGATGAAGGAGGTTGTGCATATGTGGGTGCCGGGAGCATGTGGGAACTCTCTGTACTTTGCACTCAGTTTTGCTACAAACCTAAAACTGCTCTTAAAAAGTCTATTTTTTAAGCCTTCTAAAATTTACATGCCCACCAGAGAAGCACAAAAAACTGTTTTTATAGTAACTAAGATAAAAACTTTCCCTTCTTCAGCCTTTTCTTCCCCAAAGAAAGGGGAAGCCCTCTTTTTTGATATTAAGTCATTATCTATTGTACATCTAGTTTATATGCAACAATTGTCTTACTCTCTGTGATATAAAGTTCCTTGTCCTACTTACGTCTAAGAGAATCTTTTCTACCTTCTGAGTGGGCACCATATGGTATATACCAAGAACTTTGCTTTTCCACTGTGGATTTAACTCATTTAGTCATCATAGCAATTGCACGGGGTAGGTATTCATTTTCTTTTTTAACAAATGAGGAAACTGAGTTTTAGAGAAGTCAGGTTATTAGGATGGGTAGCTAGTTAGGCATGAGTTGGGGCAGGCAAAGGAAGGGAAAGGGGGTAGATTATCCTTGTGCATTCCTGCATGTCTACAAGTCCTAAGGCAATTCTTTTAAGTATTGTTACACATATTGGGTGCATAGGTGCAAGGTCATGACTAGCTGTGCATTTGTAGGTGACTAATGTTAACCCATAATGTTTAAGCCATCAATTTGAGCATGACACGTTTCAGTAGGGTGTGTGATATTTGACCTATGCTGTTAAGTTTTTGACCTCGACCTCCATAGGGTTAAGCTGAAACAGGCTTAGCCACACTTGAGCTTGTGGTCACCAGATCTCTGATTCAATCTTAGGACACTGTTCAGCCTTATAGGTCACTGGTTTCAGTCACATAGCACACGTGTAGACAGCTAAGCTAGATGGGGGAGCTAAAGAGACAGGAGCGAAGAAGTTCAGGAAGAAAAAGCCCATAAATATCTGAGCTCTGTAATCGATTGGGGCCCTCTCACTCTCCTGAGGGGCCCACTCACGCCCTCCTGAGTGTACTTCCACACTGCCAATAAATCCTTGATTATTTCACTGTAGTTTGTCTCTTGACTGAATTCTTTCCTTCGAGGAGACAACGCTCTCTTCATTTCACCAGTAACAACAACCAACCTAGTATCACATAGTTAATACAGCTTTGATGTTTAAATTTTGAACTAAGATTGATCTGGCTTGAAAGCTCTTTACATTAAACAACCTTAGAGATTTTTATTAGAACACAGGCGTATATTACAGGGCCCAGAGCTGGGCAGGGCTGTGAGGAGCTGTGCCCAGGCTTCCTCCAGATCTAGCTTTCCGACTCTTCTGGCAGTGAGTGCCCAGCAGACACTACCTTGGCTCAGTCTCAAGTCCATGTTTCCATGAATTGCCCTGATGGGTTTAACCTGACTGTCACATGGAGATGGAAAAACAAATGTTTGCTAAATAAATGTTTGCTAGGTTGTCTTTAACAGTGGGATATAGAGAGGATTTTATCAAAGCCTTGCTAGGTCCCTCCCTATCTATCACATTTACTTTATATTTAAATTATAGTTTTTAAAACTGTTATCTCCCTTCTTGGAGGAGGTCCTCTATCTAAATGGTTTTAGGCAGTTTGAGAGAAAGTGAAAGCTTTTTCCTAAGTCTTTCTTTTCTTACAAATAACCTGAATCAATACCCCAAAGGCATTTGGGGGGTGGCAAATGCTGCCTTCTCTCACTTAGCTCCCTGGTACTCCAGCTATGTACTCACCTGCTCTGTCGGCTGGAAATGAGAAACCCTCATTTCCTGCTAGCTTGTTTGTCTAAAGGTATTGTTGAAAGGCAATTTTCAGAAAAAGGCAAAATCATGACTCATACAAGTAGAAAAATGAACATGTACTAAAAGACTTTTCTT